GACTTACAGGGTTTCTTATACAAATTATTCATTTGAAAACACACTCCAAGTAAATAACTACATGTCATACTTTAAATGGCTTTATTTTACTAACTTTATACCTCCTTTTGCATGTCTGACTAGTCCCACTGATTTTACTTAATTGGTGTCCTGCTCAGCAACAGAGGCTCTCTCATTTCAATAAAAACATCAAAGTTTAAGTATGAACAATGTCACAAATAGAAAGACACTAAAGACTGCCTTTCAGAATGGACTTATTAAGTGTATGAAGTCATATCATTATTATTTATTTTAGAGTTTAATTCATTGTATTTTTCAAATGTAGTTGTTATGGATTCACAAGTTCAGAGTTTGTGATCATTCTACTTGGTAATGAATTTAAGTCTATACTTACAGTCAAAGAGGGAGCTTTTTCTGTAATGTAAACAGGAAAAAAGGGAGTATGTTTGTCTATTTAGGAGAAATGTTTCAATGTAGTTTTTACAGTACGATCACAAAGTAAGGAGAGCTCAGAAATACTTAGGTGGGGCTTCATTTGCAAATTATAAATTCTTCTTCTTTACTTTAATTTATTCACTAATTCTAACAGGCTAAATTCTTTTTCGGTCCAGTCCATTCAGGCTATCTCCAAATAAGCTTTGCATTTACTAAGAATATAAGTTATAAAATATTATCATTATCTAAAAGTCGAAGGCAATAGGAGGTAACCACCCTTCATAATTTCTAACCGCAACCAGGAGAGGCTGGAACAACTATTTAATACCATTTTGACTAAGTCTCTTTTGAACCAGGAATTCCCTGATATCCAAGTCTGGCTCTTTGGAGAATCTGAGTCTTTATCCTAGCCAGCCTTCTGGACCTTGTCACTTGAAGGAGCCACACCCAGCTCTTTTCCAATTGCTTCTATTCCTCTTTGCCTTGTCCTGAACTAATAATCAGGATTGTGCCTGATCTTGGGTATTAGAGTTTATGAACTGTGAACTGATACTCCATTACAGGTTCTCCAGATTTGGATCATTCTTGGAGATCAACATCTCTTTGGAATTAGATTAGAAATGGGGGTCTGAACTTGAATTATGATTGTCTGCTGCTATTTCTACTCATGGAAGGCAGCTACTCCTCACTAACTATATGTATTTTGACATTACGGCCAGAATCACACTGTAGTTCAGCAACTGCAGGAAACCAGTGGATATTTAGGACATACTTGAGTCATTTGATCCCATCATTATATGTACCAAAAGATAATAATATCATATGTCTTTTTTAAATTTTTGGTACTTTGAGTTAATACTTTAAAGAGGCATTTATAGGGAGACATATTTAAATGTTGAATAGAGGAAAAAAGTACTTGGGATTAGCTGAAATAGTTTGCCTAGAGAAACAGAAATGGCTTGTGTATCAAATTCAAACATATCTGAAACTTTTTCAATCTCCTGTCTTTCATTACTCAGATAAAGACACTAAACTTATCCAGAGACCCAAAGTAGAAATCTCAGAATCATCCTTGATTCTTCTCTTTCTCTTCTACCCTAACTTTGGTTAATTAAGGCCTACCAAACATAACTATGAACTGTTTATTCCTTTCTAATTCTACTGCCAATGATCTTGAATCAGTTCAGAAAGTCTCTTCCTTGAGCTGCTATCATAGCCAACCTACTAACAGGGCTGCATCTGTAATGGATTCTTCTTTTTAAATATTAGTGTTTTTGGTAGTTCAGTTGTATATTCTCTTACCCTCTCATTCTGTACTTTCTCCCCAGACAATTCATCCACCCCTGAGGATTTGAGTACCCTTAATATGATATGGCCCTGCAATTTTTATCTCTAGTTTAGATTACCGTCCTAGACCTCAAACCTACGACAGGTCTATCAGCTTAATAGATACGTCTAATTGGAGGACTCACGGGAACCTCATCTGTACCACCTCAAACGTATTCCCCATTCTGTGGTCTGTAGCTCAGAAAATGGTACCTACATCTGCCCAGATTAGAGCCAGAAACCAGAATTACTATCCTTGAATTCCCTTATTTTGCATTATCCTGCATTTATTTCTGTCTCTCAAATCTATTTCATATCTCCCCATACTTACCACCACTATCTTAGTTAAGGCCACCATTACGTTTCACTTGGAGTACTGTAAATGACTCCTAAATTCTCTCCCTATCTTCAGACTTGTTCCTCTGCAATTCTGGCTACACAATGTAGCTGGACTGATTTTTCTAAAAATGCAAATATGAACATGTTTGTCTCCTGCTTAAAATCCTCCAGTAGTTTAGTACTGCCTTTAGGATCAAGTTCAAACTCTTCTAACCTACAAGGGTCCTACAGTCCCTCTCAAGCTTCATCACCAGCTACTCTCCCTTTAGCTAATTAAGCTCCAGTTTTCCTTGGTCTCTCTCTCTCTCCTTTTCCCTCTGGATCTTTGTAAATTATTTTCCCTCTTCCTAGAAAGTTCTTCCCCTCTTTTCCTTTGTCTAACTCATAACTCATCCTTAAGTGCCAAATTGGATTTCATTTACTATTTTGACAATACTTTTTACGCATCTCCCAAGATTTGGTTTGGGGGCCTTCTGATTTGTTCTAAGAGAACACTACAGCCATTTTCTTTCTATGCTGTAATGGCCTCTTCTCTCATTTATCACATTGTAGGGCTTCTTGAGGGCAGGGATTTTGTATACAACTCTCTCACAGGTGCCTACCACAGCCTGAATCTACCATTTAGTATGAATTCAGGTCATTGCCCTTCCTAAAGATCTCTGATGGCTCCTACTGAATAAAGACTCAAGTTCTTAACATGTGGCACGCTAGCGCATATCTTTTCAATTTTATGTCTTGGAACTCCTACCTACCCTCCCGCCTACCTTCTGTATGTATTACTCTGAACACCTCTGCACAGATCATTTTGATGCAGTCACACTTTTGCTTATACTATTCTGACTTTCTGAAATGTAATTCCCCTGCTTATTTTGGTGGACAATGTTTTCCATACTACTCTTATCTCCAACTCAGGTAGATTTAATGGCTCTCTCATCCAGGTCATCACAGAACTTTAAACTTTACTCTGTTAAAACACATATTTCACTGTATTATAGTTATTTATTTTTAATAATGCCTCACGGGCTATGCAATAAGCTTCAGGAAGGTACACACTACACCTGCTCGTTTTTAGATGCCTACTACAGTGCCTGGCATACAGTAGTACTCAAATATTTATCACATTGGAAAAACTAAAAGCTAACTGTTTCAATTACCCTTACTGAGACTTTGAGACAAAAGATAGGGAAAGGGAGAACAGTTCATTCTACAAAATGTGAAAATGAAAATGTATGGATTTATACATCTTTGCTTAACCCTAGAATGAAAGAATCTGGCTTCCTCCCCAACCTGCTCCCTCTTTTAAAAGTGCCTCTTAGAGACTTTCAGTAACTCTCAAATATACATTATTCTGATTTACTCTGTTAACTCCTACCCATCTTTGGCAAGAGAAATAAGGGGATGAGGAAAAAATAAAATGAACTGGAAATATTTCATGAATAACAATCAACTACGAGACTTAAAAGATAAATTCAATGGCAAAAGTCCAGACCACTTTGATTTGAATCCAAGCCCTGTAACTTTCTGACTTTGTATAAATCACTTAGCTATCAATGCCTTGGTTTCTCTATCTGTACAGTGGGAATGATAATAATACATATTTTACATCTAGGGATATTGTGAGGATTAGAGTTTATATATGTAAAGCATTTAGAATGAAGCATGGCATGTCGTTAGCAGTTAAGTGTTAGTTTTATTATCAATATCTGAAATGGTGGTGGTTTAATTAATAATCAAGAGTTACAGTCTATTCCTAGATTATAAGATAGTGCCCCCATGACAGAATGTGAGCTCTAAGAAGACTTTTCTGGACTACTTGGGTATTAATACAGAGTAGCTGAATAAATAACCATGTTCTAAAGGACTACAGCTGGATCTCTGTTTTAATTAAGACCTTTTATTCAATTGATATACTTTGGAAAATTATTTATAATTGTATTTCTTTATTTTCACATTTATAAGTACATTGATGATCCTGCAATGATGGTGTGAATTAGCTAACAAATCATTATGAAGAACTCTGAAAATACAAAACTGAACTGACAAATTAGTTTATAAGTACCTAATGTAATTCATTAACAATACAGCATATTACCTTAGGTCCTGTAATGCCTTTCAACTCTAGTTCTTAGTTCCTAAGTTCTTAATTTTCTTAAATGGTATTATAAAATTAACTATAATTAATTTAAAAATAAATTTTGGAATTTATGTTGGTTTGAGTTAGAAAACTGTCAGATTTAAGAAGTAGATGCTGTGAAATTTTAAACAGTTAAATACTGTATTGTACTGTATTGTCATTATAAAATTGTTACCATCATTGTTAAAATAAGTGGTCTTGTTGAAATTTAAGAATATTCACATATATTTGAAATCTGATCTTAAAATGTTATACAATATTAATAAAAATTCCAGCTTAAAAGCCCCAAAGATAATTCTCAAACATATTTTGATATAGCCTGTAATTCTTGATAAATTAATGTTATAATTTAGTTATATTTTGAAAGTACAGCCAAATCTTAATTATCTTGTCTATGGAGATATGAATAGCTTGTATAGTTAATATCCATTTCTTTTCAGAACCTCATATTTAGTCTGTTCTCCCACAAAATATTTACCACCACAAAATATTTACCACAGTTAATTTAATGTGCTAATTTGTATTTCTCAACTCCTTTTCTTTCTTAATTAACAACAAAATGACTAAGTAAATAAATACATAATCTAACAACATATAAAATATAAGAAAGGGATATAATTGATAACCAATCTGAATATTCAAGAGTTAGCTACACATTATTGTTTACCTTAAGAATTAAAATAGCCTTATCTTCCTTCATATCTTTAATAAAATCAAACAGGAGTTCCTATGCCTTAACATTCCTAGTCAGAGTTTCTCTGAGTACCTGAAAGAACCCTGGTGGTACAGGACCTACTGGCATGCCATCTCCTGGGGGAATGTTTCCTAGCACTGGACTGGGAGCTGCTGCAGCACTCTGCAAAGAATAAAGGAGAAACAAACCTATATCATTACAGAGAAGGCACAAAACCAAAGACTAACGATAATAGATTGCAGGACGGGATGCTCTTTCATGCCTGGGAACAAATACTGGTAATTTTCCCCATCCTAGAAGTAAACTGAGATACAATAGTTTAGTATATGACTGGTTTAATTAGTTGGTTTTAACAAGTCTCTTTAAACTTTGTGAAGTCAAATAAATTTAATAATGGATATTTTGATGATATAGTAAATGCAAATAGTACTATGACAAAATAATAAAAGCCTTAGTAAATGCTTTAATACTTTAAGGCACAGGCATCTGAAATGGCAACATCAAAAACAAATAGGTGAATAAATAGGTAAAAAGTTTGAAGATGGTGGGGTGGATTGTAGGAGTTGACAAAAATAATTCTCTTTTTTTAAGATTATGCTTTTATGTCATAAACAAGTATAATTAAATTTCCTGCCTATAGGTGGCAACACTCACATTATTCACTTTCTGATATACTGTAACTGGTAGCCAAAATATATAGGGTGGTGAGGACAAAAAAGTAAATAAAGGATTGAATAGGAGAAAAAAATTAGATTTGGAGACAATAGTCTCATACAAATTATGAAAAAAATCAAATTGAAAAATTCAAAGTCTGCTTCACTTGCAAATTATTTCATGGAATCCTGGCATTTTATAAAATAGGAGTATGAAAAACTTTGGGTTAGACTCTGTAATAAAATCAACATTATAGATTTAATACTTACATAGGGAAGTTATACATACAACTGTTCTACAATCATAGATTTCTTCCCTCAACCTGATTAGACATATTACAAATACTAAAAACAGTCAAGAAGGGATCAGAAATATGCTGAAGATAGATCAGTTTGAATTGAACAGCTCTGCTATGAAGAGAAATCAAAGCAAAACTTGTATCTAGTGTATCTCTTGCACTATCTTCACCTATATTTCAGTGTATTCATTCATGCATTAATATTCCATTATAAGATGTAAAATCTCAGTATGTTTGTAGCACTCATTTCCCAGTACATAAATTGATAAAAAATACTAAATATGTTTATTTTATAGTACTGACAGTTGTTAAATAATTAAGGCCAATGATTTTAGTATTTCCTGAGGAAGTCTAGATTTAAATGTGATTATCTGAAATGTTGCTTACCTATGAATGTCAAAATTTTAAACTTCTGATAAGGCATATGAATATAAAAGAAGAAATAGTATTTCTTAGATTTTAAGATGAAACATGAGTCTATTATTCTAAGAAAAAACATGCAATTTCAATTAGTGCATATTAATGGAATACCTACCATTTGTCAGTTATTGCTCTATTGAGCTTTATATAGCAACACTCATGTTTTTAAAAAATGAGAAGTAAATTGCTTTTTTTCATTTTAACTAAACTTGTGTAAAATTTTAATACAACAATGTTAGGGTAAGAAGGAAAAAGTATCATCAAACACAACCTCTTTTAGTTTAAATAAATATGATTACAGCCAGATCTAGGAAGAAAGATTTGATGTGTATCTTTGTGGCTGAAATTACTGTCATGTAGAAACTGCTCTTCGTATGAAAAGCTAGACATAGCCTATCACTATTGTTATAATAAACTGCAGAATAGAAAATTGTTTTACAATAAAAAGACATATTAAAAAAGACAAATTTGGAAATCACACTCACCTGTACTTTCAAATGTATACTGTAACACTGAGTATGTGTACAAAGTGACAAAACACAATTTACTGAGTTACTAAAACTTTTTAGTGTAGTTCAGAGATATAATTTCTCCCTCAATTCCAGTTGCCTAAGAACTACATAAAATATGTTTTCTTCTCTATTCAAAGGAATAGGCATTTGTATTCATTTGTAGCTGACCTAAAATTCAACAGGTAATCGATGCTGGTAAAGAAACATGTAAAATTCACAGTTAAATATTTGACTGATTGCTTATTTATTTTTTTCTTTTTTGGCAGGCTACATTGTTTAAAGGTGTATCATATGCTAGGTTGGTAGGGTTTTCTTCCAAGTTCTTAATTATATATGTTTCCTGGGTTTTCTTCTTGCTATTATGTAAAAGCAAAATAAATCATTTGGATGAAGATTTAAGCAAGTTAAACCTTTAAAATGGCTTCTGAATTTTCATCTTATGCCTTTAAACATATTTAATAAATTCAATAAGAATACTGAATTTATTCTCTCTTCTTACATGCAGTCAAGGATTTTTAAGTTTTGTAATATAATAGTTAATGTAATAGGAAAAAGAATCTTTGCCCTCATAAAGTCAGCATTCTAGTGAGGGAAGAAAGACAATGAGTAAAACAAACCAAATATATTTATCCATGATCTAAGAAGAAAAAAGGATGGGGAACAGAGAATTCCCAGTAAAATAGGCAAGGATTGTAATTTTAAATAGGATAGTCAAGCAATCAACAAATCAAACAAATGAATGAATCCAGTTACAGTGACTACTAACTGATTTCCCTTCCTACATTTCAAGATGTACGACATTTTTACAGTTTGCACCTATTCCTTCACAGAGGCACAATAATTTTGTGGAAGTTCCTCTTTCTTAATATTCATACTTTAGGCACAACAATAGAAGTGTCTTGAAAACAAGGATTTTTATAGCTAGATGATTCATCGTATACAACATGATGAGTTATCCGATGTGATAGCAACTTCTAGCCTTGACCTAAGGACACAAAGTGAAGTGTGCTGAATGCCGGTAATTATCCAGTATACCCAGCACAAAGCACTAGTCCACAGCATTTTGGCCCAAACTTCACTTTTTGGACCACATTTTTTAGCTAAATTATCCATTCACTCTGCTGGGATTTATTGGCAAAAGATAATTCCCTCTTTACTGTATTATGCGGACTCAGCTTACGGTACCATTTGGTTGGTACACTTTGTTGATCATTAACATGTGCTGATAATAAACACTATAGAGGTACACTAAATGGTGCTCTCAGCATTGTAAAAGAGTATATTTCTCAAACTGCCTAAGTAGCTAATTTATATACAGTAGCAAATAAATAATGCATGCTTTGAAATTGTAAGGTAAATAAGAAGCTTTGGGAATTAGAAATTTATTTAGATGGGAGAAGTACCACAGTTCTTGGGTTATATTGCTGAAATTTCTGAGACTTCTCTCAAGTTTACTTCCAACTCATGAGTCAAATTTGTGCGTGATCCCCAGAAAGTTGTTGTTGGGCCTGAATCACAAAGCATGTATTATTACTCTAAGATGTTGTGACAAAATCACAAAAGGAGAGCAAACAGTTTAATTATAGTTAAGAACTACTAGAAAGCATTAGTTTCACTGAATTTATGTGAATTCCCATTGGAGTAGCATAGAAAATCCTTTACTATATAATATATCCATGACTACTTAGGATTGAGTTTTCATTATAGCTCTCTCTTAAAAGAGAAAAACATACAAATAATATGGATTTACAATATTTCCTCTAACTAAACTGAATATATAAGACTTCAGTGCAGATATAACAATATTATCATTAAAAGTGTTTTGTTCCTTCTAACAGATCAATTTGCATGCTTTTATCATGCACTGCCAGATAATGTATTTTCTAACTGCTCTTGAAGCATTTACTTAGCCATCTGTCCTAAATTTCAAGTTTGTTTTTTTTTTTTTTTTGAGTGACAACTTTTTTATTGCTTTTTCATTTTCCCAAATCACAAATATAATTTTACTGACTTTTTATAAATCCAATATTTTAAATTTGGTGTTCTCAAATCAACTAAAGTATGGAACAATTATTTGTTTTCTTATTGTTTTCTCAAGGAAATATTAAAATGAACTTACAGTTATGAAAGTTCGTATCTTTCTTCATGTTTCTATGTAGTTACATTTTGTTCAGTTTGTGTGATCATCATCTTCTCTGGAACTTTTGGCACTTACATCATTCTACCCTCTAAGAAGGCATAGGTCAATATGTTTATGTTATTTATTTCATCATTTCCCATTTTCCTGTTTCTCTGAAATGCTATTATATGACTGATTTTTAAAAATATTTTATTCTAATTCCCTATTTTCTGAATTTCAAGAACAGAGAAATATACTCTTATATTTTTCTCCTGTTAAATAAAAACTTGAAATAAAAGTTAAAAACCTTCTTATTTTAAATTACTTATTATCACTGTTGGTTTCTGACAGCGAAAAAAGTTGTATATACTCTGTATGAAAGTTTCAAAGCAACAGGCATTAAATACAAATTTGTTTAAAAATAAAATTAGGATGCAATTTATTACTAAACACAATTAGCATTTATCAAGATTCTACACATTGAATAACAATTTATTTACTAAGAATGCTAGAGAACTGTTTGCCTAATTATACAGTGAAGAATCAAGACAGTCTATATTTGGTAAAATAGGAAAAACAATTTTATGTGTATGAAAAGCATTTTAAGTACATGAAGATAATAATATAGTATTATTCATATATATGAAGATAATATAGTATTATTCATATATATGAAGATAATATATTATTATTCATATATATGAAGATAAAAGAGGAATTAAAATAGTGCTATGATTATTAGAAACTGGAAAGGGGATTAAAGGGAGGGGTGAGTAGGAAGAGGTTGAGCAGGGGATTACAGATTTTCCTTATTTAGCCATCTGTACTGTTTTTTTTTTTTTTTTTTTTTTTTGAGACGGAGTCTCGCTCTGTCACCCAGGCTGGAGTGCAGTGGCCGGATTTCAGCTCACTGCAAGCTCCGCCTCCTGGGTTAACGCCATTCTCCTGCCTCAGCCTCCGGAGTAGCTGGGACTACAGGCGCCCGCCACCTCGCCCGGCTAGTTTTTTGTATTTTTTAGTAGAGACGGGGTTTCACCGGGTTAGCCAGGATGGTCTCGATCTCCTGACCTTGTGATCCGCCCGTCTCGGCCTCCCAAAGTGCTGGGATTACAGGCTTGAGCCACCGCGCCCGGCCCATCTGTACTGTTTTTAAGCTGCT